ATTCCAGTTCATGGTGGAAGGGAAGGACACGAGTGCTAACTCACCTAGCTAATGTTTAATTCAGCAGCTAAACATACTAATGGGCTAATGGTCTTACTTGAAAGATGTTTCTTAACTAAATGATGAAGAATTTGGGAAGTGAGTCATTGTGTTGCATGAATTGCGGCATCGAAATGTTAAGTTTGCCCTGCGAGCACAGCCGGTTTTTAATTAAAAACAATAATGAAGCTGAGAAGGGTTTATCAACATCCAAAATCTGGCATCATTTAGTTTTATTTGGGATTACTAATTAAAGGTGTGGAACACTCTTTCAATCAATACCTTTGCAGTGGTCTCTGTAGGAGTGAATGCCTTTTGGAGTCTTATTTCCTGATATTTGGATATTTCGACTCAGACTGAATAACAGCAACTCTACATCTCCACAAATAGCATGAGCTTGGAGGAGTTCTGCCATGTGGTGTAGTTGCTAATGCTAATGATAAGCTACTACTAATCGAGAGGTTCTCTGCTGTTTCCTGGATGCTAAAACAACAACAGCCTTCCCCATCATGAGTCAAGAAGGATAAGTCCATAGCCATTTTTACAAAACAATGCAGTCAATTTGCCGCAACGCCATGGCGGCATCAGGGAGCCTTAGGCCATTTATAAGTGGTCAGACCGTGGCGGTAATGTAGCGCAATCATGTCCTTTTTATAAAATATTAGGTGCAGCGCTTCAGTTTGTTGTCTCAGCTGATTTTGTACAAAACGCAAAACGTACGACTCGTGTTTACTATCATTCTCAATATATTTGCTGGCAGGTGCTTGGCATTAACTCCCCACATCATCATGACACCTCCCTTTGTTGCTCTATTGCGCAATAGCCGTTTATAAAACAGACCATTACCAAAATATTACTACCAAGCGGAACGAATGCTGCAAAATTCGTGCAACGCCATGCCGGCATAGCATGTTTATAAGAAACATTGCCGCGGTAATATTACGCCAATTTGCCAGCACGGTGTGCCTTGTAAAAAGGGCTCATGAATGCTAAGTGACATAAGCCCTTTTTACAAGACACACCGTGCCGGCAAATCAGCATAACATTCCTGCAACAGTGTGTCTTATAAATGCACCATGCCGACACAGTGATGCACAAATTTTGAGGCATTCATTCCACTTCGCTTGGTAGTAACATTGCAATATTGTTTCATTAACGGCGACTGCACCTTGGCGCAACAGAGGGAGGTGTCATGATCATGTGGGGAGTTACTGCCGAGCTCCGGCCGGCAGCTATATTGAAAATGAAAATAAACACGGGCCGTAATTTTGCTTTTGTAAACAGAACCAGATGAGACAGCAAACTGAAGCAACACAGTGCTCCTGGAGCTTCTCTCTGTCAGAGCTGGAGCTCAGGTCATCAGAGACTGCATGGGGACTGTGGGGGACCGACACCTTCAGGAGCAGCTTGTCAAAAAATGTAATGAGCGCGGCTTTGATTGCAATAAAAAACACGTTATGTCCAAGATAAACAGAAGTCCGTGACAGCGCAGGGACCGCCCTCACATCCCCTTTATGCCGCCATTGCCTAATCTTTTATAAAAAGGGCACGACTGGACCACATTTCCGCCGGTCTGACCACTTATAAACGACCTAAGGCTACCTGATGCCGCCATGGCGTTGCAGCAAATTGATGGCATTGTTTTGTAAAAACAGCTGGCATGATGTGGATATGTCAGACTTTAAAATCCTAGATTTTCACTGTCTATTTTCAAACAGAAGCTAATGCAGGAGATAGGTGTAGGAGACTATCATGTTCAACCTGCATGAAAGACTCAGTGACCGATTATAATCAATAAGATTTAAAACAGTGTTTTTCAGTGTTCCACACCTCTTAATGAAAATAAAAATATAACAAGATACCAAATAAAGTAATGGTAGCCTTTGGGACCACAATAACGTGCATGGAGTTAAGACTGAGTTAGCATTTTAGATACTAAAACCACATATTAGAGAAATTTTGAATGGAAAAAAAAGAAGTGCTGAGATTCAAGTTGAGAATAATGCTATTTCAAGAAAAGCCTGATTAGATGAACTATTTTGTGTTCCTGAATCAGACATTTTGTTTAGTTCATTTTAATTTTATTATTATAGGAAAGGCTTCAAAAACGAGATTTTATTCTAGAAAACGGTGTGCTGTATTCACAACAGAACACAGAGAATGCCTTCAATCCTTCACAATAAATTCTCCAACAAACACACTTGTCTGAAATAAGTTATAGTTTAATATTGGTGGTGCAGCCCAGATTTTAGTGGAATTACCTACATGTTGTCATCAGATCTAAATTAATGTTTAGTGTCTGATTCTGTTTTTACTCTCAAAAAAACTTCATTAGTGTTTGGGATTGCTTTTTGGCATTAATTGGAACACACTCTGATAAGGAACTGATGTTTTATTTGAAAGAGGGCCAACTGGGAGTAGAGATGCTTTGGACTTACCTGCATGGCAGCCATATTGCACCTAAACACACTTCTGTTCTGGGTTCAAGTACAAACGTTAAACTCTGCAGAAGCCTGTTAATCTAGATTAAAATCAGGTGTGTTGAAGCAGACAAACCGCTAAAATATGCAAGATGACAGCCCTCGGAAAGCTTCTTTTCCTTGTGCTGACTTATTTACATACATACATACATTTATATATACATATATATATATATATATATATATACACATATATTATATATATATATATATATATATATATATATGTACACACACATATATATGTGTGTGTGTGTGTATATATATATACACACACATATATAACATATATATACACACATATATATTATATATATGTGTGTATATATATTTATATATACACATATATTATATATATATGTACACACACATATATATACATATACACACATATATAACATATATATATATATATATATATATATATAAGGCAATCTTTGTGGTCTGCTGTGAATACAGCACACTGTTTTCTAGAATAAAATCTCGCTTTTGAAGCCTTTCCTACAATAATGCAGGAGATAGGTGTGTGTGTGTGTGGGGGGGGGGGCTTAAAATATCTTTAAATCTCCGATAATCAAAAGCAAATTTGAGCAGTCATTGTCAGCCATCATCGTTAGGCTCAATCCTTCAGATTAAAATAAGGTCTCATGCTAATTTAGATATAGTTTTAAATAGCGGAAGATAAAACTTCACCTGCATATCGGTGTAGCGACACACTCCTTCACACGCAGAAACACACAACTCCCCGGATGTCTCTGAGAGTCTCACTGGGACTTTTAGCAATAAGATCCTTACAGCAGCCTGGGAGGTAGACATAGCAGTGACACAAAGCAGTGATGTGCAATAATTCAACAAATGATGTAACCACAACATATACAATATATTCCAAACATGTGCTGCATAAAAGTCAGTAAGCTTTCGTATAATAAACATGAATCCATTTTGTTTTCCCACGATAAACCATCGCCTCGAACGTTTACTGAAATGTGCAGCTTGGGGGGTAGGAATAGCACGCAATAATCTATAAACGTGGCATCTGTAACATAAACAATCCATCCTAAATATAGACTGCATAAAAGATATTTCACTTTTAGAAAATAAGCCAGTATCCATATTGTGTGGCATGGCCACAAACCTACGGTCACAAAAATGTGTATAGCGACTCTTTTAAGCCTGCTCTTGTCAACAAATAACTACTCAATTTCATTTAAATGCAGTTTGATGCTTGAGGTTGTTCAAAAGTGTAGTTTTAGGGGAAATAGAGAAATGATATGCAACTTTAAAAGCAAAATCACTGAAGGTTTTAAGAAGATGACCTGGGAATACCCCGACACCTCCGACTGAACTTGTTTAGTTTGAGCACGTTTTACCGTAATGATTACGTTTCCTGCTCCTCCATCACTTCCTGCCTTGATTCCGCTCTTTGCTCTCCTTCCCTCGTTCCTTTTCTTTCTCCTCCCTCTGTTCGCCTTTTTCCCCTCTCCTCTTTCCCTTCCCTCTCCATCTTGACACAGAGCACTAAGCCTAATCGTGGATAATTGGGTGGGAGGAGCAGTGGGCTGGCCCTGCCTTTGTGTGCAAAGGGCAAGTGGTCAAGTTAATGGGGCCCTTGTGTCGAGCTGGAACACTCGGTCTCTGCCTTCCTCTCTTCGATCGTTCTCCTAGACAGTCAATCTCTGTCAGCTACTTTTATGTCACAGCTCAAGCTTTGTCCCGCAGCTTCCATCTAGCTTCCCCTCATTTCCAGCAGTCTCACACCGCCTTTCCTTCCAGATAGTCACTGCATCTTGTTCGGTTTCTGTTGTCCTCCTCCACTGCCCTCTTGTCTTTTTCAGCCTTTGTCTTTCTCTTTCTGCCTCTTTTTTCCATCTCCTCTCTTTGCCTCTTCAGCATAATGTTGGGGAGGAGAAAACAGACCTCTTTAAAATATCAAAAGACAGATCAGGAGGCCTCACTGGTCCCCCTCCCCTTACAAACTCTCCCTCCCTTCTTCTGACAGATAAACAGAAGAGTGAGCCTGCAAGATTAGCTGCTGTGGTCGGCCTCCCCTCCCTCCTTTATCCCACTCTCTTTTCTTTCTCTGGAGGGGTGGACCGTTGACTGGGCTTGATATGTGTGTGTGTGTGTGTGTGCGTGTGTGCACGAAAGCTAATGTGTGTGTACATGTGTGTTTTACCTTGTCTGGAGCCAGCTTAGCCTGCAGGAGGCCATTGTGGTCGAAACACAGGCTGCAGATGATCTGGGTTTGAGGAAAACTTGTAATTCCTTTCAGTTTGTTTTTCAAAACAAAAGAATTATTTCTTTCACAATAAACCATTCAACAAATATAAAGCAATAATAAGAAATCTTTGACAACCGTACAGCAAAAGCATCTTCCCCGTTTGTGATAACCTTCTAATGCATCGTTTTATTTTGCAATCGCCAGTGGAATTCGTTTTTGGTGATAAAAAAATGTATAGCACATTTAAAGAGAGGCTCAAATTTATTGAAGAAAATGATTTTATTCATTCACATAAAAAGAGAAACATGAACAAAATCCAGCTCACTTTGATTACAGCAAAGCAAAAACTCATTACACAAGCCCGTGCCCAGGCTGACACTGGATAAATTGAAATGTTTAATTTGAATACCTACATTTTGGTGTCAAACCCTCACAAAGCTTCAAATCATCCAATTCTTGAAGGTATTCCAAGGTCCTGTGACCCTGTCCACAATCAGTCTTATCTAACTTGTAGAACTTTTTGAATTGTTCTCTTTTATTTATTTATTTTTTGGGAAGAGGAATATAAAAAAAACACATTTGATTTGTATCTGAATTCAAGCAAAAATAATTTTGCTGATTATATTTAATGATGAAAATCAAAATTTGGACGTAAAAGTAAAGTTTGAGCAAAAAAAGTCAGGAAATTTGTGATTTCTTTGCCGCAACAATGATTCTCCATCAAGCTCGTCTTCAACAGAGACATATCGAGATGAGATCCTTCGACTAGAGGCGATCCCAGATCTCACTGCTCATGACCACAACGCTCACCCCCATAGGGCTGCAATTTAGCAGAAACTAACTGCAGATCAAACTCATCCACATGCTAATTATGCCCCTTTTAGTGAAATTAACAATAGTTAAATTACAAAAATGCATTCTGCCTTTAGATTTATCATCCAATCCAATAAGCGAAACCAAACGAGAGTCATTTGCAGAGTAAAACGTTTGGCGTCGGCGGTAGGGCTCATGATTAATCGTTTACCCTAACCCTAACGATTCCAATCAAAACAATGATGATAAATGACCCGCACTTGTATAGCACCTCTCAGAGTAAGGATTCCAAAGCGCTTTACACTACAGTGTATCATTCATCCATTCACACACTGATGGTGATGAGCTACGATGTAGCCACAGCTTCCCTGGGGGGCACTGACAGAGGCGAGGCTGCCGAGCACAGGCGCCACTGGTCCCTCCGACCACCACCAGCAGGCAAGGTGGGTTAAGTGTTTTGCCCAAGGACACAACAGCAGAATTCTCTGTCCGGAGCCGGATCATCAAAACTACAGTTATTGTGCAGTCTCCTGACTGACCCAGGATCTGCTGTGGCAATTGTTTCACACATCTGGGGTTTCTAACCCATTATAGCCCGCGACCGGGGATAGCTGTGTTGATTTTAGCAGCCAGAAGAGAGGAGAGCACATCTCGGCTAGTAGAAGCTAACCATTAGCATTAGCAGCTCCACAAGGCTTGTGTTGTTTGTGTCGATAAAACATCAACATTGCAGAGCAAACAGAGGCAGCGGAAGAGTTGTGTTGCTGTAAGCCAATCAGAGGCAAGATGATCATTAATGAGTAAGACTCTAAATCCGGCCATTTTTGTACCCCGCACCTCCGGCTATCTTCAACTTCCTAAAATTGAACTGCCAGAGCTTTTTTTTCACAGAAAACTCACAAGGCATTCGTTTGTACAAGAGACCACAGCAAATGTCTTGAAAAAAGTAGCCAATCAGAGCTTTAAAGGTGTTACGGCTGTAGCAGCTAGCCTGTGGCAGCTTGTGCAAGGGGTGGGGGGTGGGGGGGGGGGGGTGACAGGGTGACAGGAGCCTGATGCCTGAGTTGACAGAGTGGCACATTTTAGTCGTTTTCCCTTTTTTGTAGCGCTGCTGCAGTCAATATTACTTATAGCCGCAGTCGTCTCTCACTTCTGTCCCTCACTTGGCACTACTGGACAGCGTGATGGAGAGGCTGAGTCGCCCTCTTCCTGCAACAACAGGCAGGAATTTACTGTAATAACACCAAGTGGAAATGAAAGTGCAACTTCTCTTATCCACGTTATTCTTACAGCCCATGAGGCTTTGCGCGAAAGATGGTAGCAATTTCCAGTCCGCGTTTGTTTACATTGAGACGATGTGATCCCTCAAATCCTCTTTCTATGCTTTTAGAGATGGAAACTCAAGCTCAAACGGGACACCTTAACACTCCGCCTGCCTACTGCACCAGAGGGGTGGGAGATGATCTTAAAATCTGGCCAAAGCCAACACACAGTTGCATTTTAGCTACAGCAAGGAAATACGCCTGATTAGTGCGCACCAGTGTAGCTATGGTAACATCGTAGCTTATCACCATCAGTGTGTGAATGTGTGTATGAATGGATGAATGATACACTGTTGTGTAAGGCGCTTTGGAGTCCTCTGACTCTGAAAGGTGCTATAAAAGTGTGGGCCATTTATCATTTATCAATAAACAATCTTAAAAGCTCAAAGGCTTATCAGTTCCTATCATAACAAGGTTGGTCGAGTTTAGTTGAAATGAGCAAATGCTGCACCACTTACGATGCGATAAACATGGTTTCTGACATTGTTGCGTCAAAGAAACGATTCATCAAACACCACTTTCCTCCCATTTTGGACAGTTTAATGACACCAACCACAAAATGTCTACATTAACTCACTAATACTCACATCAGCAAATCCAGATAAAAACCACACATTATAATCTGAATGATGCTGGCCATCAGTGATTTCTTGACCGTCTGTTTTCACAGTGAGAACATAATGACAAAGTGTAAGGGCATCGCCAGCTAAAAATGTGTCATCACAGCAGATTAAATCACTAAAAGAGGCAGTGATTTTGCAACAAGCAGCAACTTAATGAGAACATTAGAGTAAACAGTGATCTCAGGTTCATTAATGCAGTTTCTGTACACAGTCACAGTGGGGAGGGTGTTTATATTAGCCCACATATACCCAATTCAGCAAATCACATTACAAATATGCTTCAAAATGTAATTAAATAGGCTTTTAAACTTTTGCAATGTCATTTTAATCCTCAAAGCACTGGGACAACAGATATAATTGGCTTTTTTTTTCAAGTTCTTCCTCTTTTATTTCTGCAAGCTGATTATCATTATGAGAAATGTAAACAGCAACCACTGGGAGGTACTGCATAGCTTTTTGGCTGCTGTGTACGCCAGTGGATCACAGTGTAAAATGGAGAAATGCAAACAGTTGCTGTACTTCTAATATCACTACAAACAGGAAAAAGTAGGAGAGAAGACCTGAGAAGAGTTGGTTGATAGAAAAAGTGGTGCGATTGATTGGAAAAGTTGAAGCTAATGTTTAAAAAGTTATAGATTATAAAAGTTTGTATTCAATTTGTAGGCTGGATGTTATATGGCATCATGCTCATGCCATTTGTTCTTGTGCTGCACATGCATGTCATGAAGAAATATGCAGCTCATAAACTAACGCTGGATTATATTAATCTAACCTTTGCCTCTGTACACCTGATTGGTGTTTTGGAGTGTATTGATAGTTCTGATTCCTTAAATACAGAAATGTAACCTGAAAAAGACCAGAAATGTTGTTTTGATGTTCGTCCATAAAATCTGTATAGTTAAACTAAGACCTCCCGTCAGATATCAGCACTTAAATCAATCTACTTTACAAATAAACTCCCAATAGGTGCGTTTCCATTATCGGAAATGTGGGGTAAATTTATAGGAACTTCCTGACACGCACGTGTCTCCACTTGACCAGGCCAGCCGAACGGCCATTTTCAGGAATTTTCTGAATTCCTGATCAGGTACTCGGAACGGCCTGGTGCGGTAGCTGAGCATAACTTTTGGTTAACTCATGGTGACTGGTTGTAACTCAGTTGGAAATGACATCAGCAGACGTCGTCCAAAACAACTGGTAGTAGTAAAATTAGAAAAGTTGCTGGTGAAGCAGAATAGAAGCAAAAGAAAAAAAGCCCCGATCACGCTTCAAATTAAGCTCCTGACACTGGAAAACACGGGGAAATTCCCCCACAGCGACTTCATTAACGGGGCTTCATTGTCTCATAGAGCGGTGTAAAAAAAAACGAGCTTCTTCTAGTCATTGAACGCCACATTTTACATCACACAGCTGCTCTCGTCCTCTGAATGGATTAAATTACGATACGCTTTGACAGAATCAAACTTTTACCGTTATTAACGTTACTGTGGCGTTGATCAGTGACATCAGTCCCTGCCGAAGCAGTCGCGATTTGCTTATGTCTGTGCAAAGTTCTGAAAGAGCTGAATTTGAATGGAGACAACAGCTGAGAGGACCGGGACATCGTATCTCCCGGTGAATTTCCCCTGAAGTTCCGGCGATGGAAACACACCTAATACATCAATTCCACAGTATTGGGTCAATTAATGCAAAAACAGCTTCTTCATGTTCAGATATTCAAACCATGACATTTGACACAAAGAAGTGGAGTTAAACACATTAATGAATAAAATCCATCAACTCCATTTCAAAACTTAAACCACAACTGAAGAGAGGAGTTAAAGGTCACATAATTAAAGAATTAAAGCCAGCATGCTGTTGCGTTCCACCACATTATAACACCAACAGAGTTGAGTAAAATTAATCAAGGTGTCACTTAGTCAGGTCTATTTGTGCCCGTGACAATAACTAAGTGTAATATGCAATCTGCAGCTCCTGGAAGCAACGGTTGCTCTTTTAATCTGAATGCGCCTTAATGTGTTAATGCACCGCTGCAAGAAACACACAAATGACGTTCTTGTGCTGACCTCTGACTGGGATGAATGAGCTATATTAAAATAAATTAGAGATGGAAAGAGGAGAAACTGAGTTGTTTCACACTGTGACAGTCGCTTAAATTAAAGCTGGCCTCCACGCTGAGGACAGAAACACAGTGGTGTGGGTTAACAGCGACTGGTTAAAGGGGTAAAGATAGAAAAGTCTCCATGTACTTTTCTATATGGACAGCCTGTAAAACTAATAAAGGACGGGTAATAACCAAGCCTTACTTGTTAACTATTCGGAAGGCTGACTGGGGAATTTGTCAAACTCAGATCCCAAACAAAAAAAGGAATTGTGTGTGAGCTGTTGGTGTGTTTCACTCAGCATGGTGGACAGGTTGAGGTTCTTTGGTCAGGGTGATGAGGAGAGGATAGTGGATGTTCTCGTCATACACTTGTTTTCCTTCCTTCAGCATCTGGAAAAGAACAAAATAAGATAAGACATAACTAAACACAGTAACACACACACACACACACGCACGCACGCACGCACGCACACACACACACACACACACACACACACACACACACACACACACACACACACACACACACACACACACACACACACACACACACCAGGGTTTCCCTTACATAGGCGTAGCCGTGGCGCGCCGCCACGGCTGAAATCCCACCGCCACGCCTACAAGATCCTGTGTTTTTTTTTTTGGCGCTGTTTCCCGAAGAAGCAGCGGGAACTACTATGTTGTCGCTTGTGATCACAGCCGGCAGGCAGTAAGGAGGAGCAGGCAGGGCAAGGTGAAGTTACAGCATAAGTTACTGAGTTTAAAATTAGAAAGGTAGCAGTGGATAAAATGCTTTTTGGTTTACATGTTTCAGCAGCATTAAGATAAACGAGTGCTGACCATCTTGACAGGGTTTCCTCCAGTGCTTATTAGGCCAGGTTCTCCTCCCCCCACCAGGCTAAGCATCACTTATTCATGTAAAATTTATTTATTTATTCATGTCTGACTTTAACCGCATCTAATACTGTATTACGGCGTGAGCGCAACAGCGACAACTTAAGATCGATGTGTGAGCAGCCTGAGAGGTCGGGTGTTTCATCTGAACCCTTAAAACCTCCAGCAGGCTACGCTGCACTATTGACGTGTTAGCGTGCGGCGCTAACAACTTAGCAACGTGACATGTCTCGGAGAAAGCGTAAAACACGGACGCTTCTTCTGAAGCGGGAAAATAACACCTCTTCTTAAGCAGAGCACAACGTCGTCTCAGCTCGTTCACGGCCGAGCCGGACTGAGCTCGATAACATTGACCCAGCACAGCCACTGGGTCGTTGGAGCTGCCCTGTGACTGCCTGATGGAAAAACTGTGGGTTTCATCAGACTCGTAAAGTTTCTTGTTTTTGCTGGGGACCCCCTGTATTTTACCGCTCCCTCCTGCAGTCTTCCCTTATTAACATTTAAAATGATTCTGTAAATTCCGTGTATCAATAGAAACAATCTCTGCCTCTGCCAGCTGCCGTAAATGTAGTCTCCAAATAATAAATAAGAGGTGCATTCATCTGTATCTCCTTTGATCTGCATTAGTGATATTTTCAGCACCAGAACAATGAAGCAAAGAAACAGATTCCTGAGTTTGTTAGTAATTTTATTTATTAGGTGCATCTAACCTGTTCTATTTTTCTCTGAAATGAGATCAAATCAGTGTTTCTATGGGTTGGCTCCACTCTGCACTAGAAGATTTTACTTTATTTAGAGCCGTGTCATAATTCCTCCCGAAACCCAAACATAACGCCAAAAATGCAACATGGCAGCAGCTGTTACCAAGAGCATAACCATTTGTGTTGATGATTGAGGCGGTTTGTTTTACCTCAATTTGATTGGCTGTTTGTTAATGACTTCAACCATCATTAGTTGAGGCTGCAGCTGAGTGTCTGTCACAGTTTTTTTTTTTGGATCTTAAAAATAGTTATTGTGTGAACCACTATCACCTGTCCAACCTCCCAATATGTGTTTTTGTTTATTCTAGTAAAACAATTTCATACATGACCCTAACTATAAAGAGAATTTAGCTTCAAATATTTTATTATTTATTTATTTATTTATTTATTTATTTATTTATTTATTTATTTATTTATTTATTTATTGCCACATGGAGTCCAGAATATTCAAATACAGACATGTGCTTGTATCCGACTTCCTCCCTTGACTCCCCCCCTCACGTCTTATCACACATCCTTGCCACACCTTGGGCCGTGAAAGCCTGAAATCCTCACACCACCTCTTCTCTCTCTTTTTCTTAATGCAAACAACCTGCTCGAGTCTTCCTCTCCGCTAACCCACCCCCCTGTGTAGGTTATCTTCATGTTGCCACCCCTCCAGGCTCTGCCCGGCGATTGAACCGCCGACCTCTAGAGAGAAAAAGAGACGGAGGGCGGCAAAGACAGGAACACCAGCTGACCCTGGGGGGGTTGGGCATGGACGGGCAGCTGCTTGGACGCTTTGGTAGCTGTGTGGACCATGGCCAGTATTCACGTTTAGGCAGAAGGAGCGAGGGAGGAAGGGATGGAGAGATGAAGAAGTAAGAAAGAGTAAGCTGAGTGCTCACAGAGGTGAAAAGTTTAACAAGCAAAGCTGTTCCTCCTGATCGCAGGCTACCTAATCAGCTTCATGGGTGGCTGGCTAAATCGGCTCTCAACCCGGCCTGCCACTTCGCCACCCCCCCCCCCCCCCCCTTCCCTAAATCTTTTCTCTTTTTTACCCCCCCCCCCCCCCCTTCCAAGGTGCAGGCCATTTATTTTATTGCCACTTTCACTCCAGCCAATGCCTCCTCTCATTCTGCCTCTCCATTGCTCTGCCCTGCTTCTATAGACTAAAAAGACGAAGAAGAAGGAGGCTCTGAGACAAGGGAGGGATGGATGAACTGGTTGTCTGGGGTCTCTCTCAGCAGGATTAGGAAACACAGAATAAGGGATTGGGGGATGGAGAGATGGGTAAAGGAAAGGATAGAAGGACAGGCTTGACTAAACAGAGAAGTGGGTTGTGATGTAGGAAATGGGAAGATAGAGGGGAGCAGAGGGAGGAAGAGTGCAAAAGGCTGGAGGAAGATATGTTAGAGAAATGGGCGAGGAGGAAGGGGGTGGTCAGACAGCTGGGGGGGGGGGCAGGGAAGAAAGTGAGCGCATAGACACAGCGGGGGTGCCATTTATGCAAGTGAGAGAGACAGTGATGTATACATGTGCACACACGTGTGTGTGTGTATTGGTTTGAGAAAAATTAAAATTCATGACTCTCTTCACAACCATTTGAGTAACAAGATTAAGATGGCGGGTTAGAAAATAGTGCTGGCATTATCAGGCTGCTTGCAGTCCCTCCAGCTGCTTGCCTCTCTATTCCACAACAGTGGGGATAAGAGGATAACACGCCAGCCCTGTCTGCCCATCCCAGCACATGCCTAACGCGTGTGCGCGCACACACACACACACACACACACACACACACACACACACACACACACACACACACACACACACACACACACACACACACACACACACACACGCGCGCACACACACACACACACACACACACACACACACACACACACACACACACACACACACACACACACACACACACACACACACACACACACACACACACACACACACACACACACACACACACACACACACACACTCATTTTCACCTTGTAACACACACTCTCAAGAGACTTGAGGCAGTCAAGCTGGCCGATGCAGCAGTAGTGTGTCCTTGTGTGTGTGTGTGTGTGTGTGTGTGTGTGTGTGTGTGTGTGTGTGTGTGTGTGTGTGTGTGTGTGTGTGTGTGTGTGTGTGTGTTTAGAAATATGCATAGTTGCAATGTGGAGGGCTCAGAAAAAAAGAGGTTTGAAAGGAATAGTTTTTTACACACACACACACACACACACACACACACACACACACACACACACACACACACACACACACACACACACACACACACACAACTGAGTTTAGACAGTCACTGCCAGAAAAATGTCTTCTTTTTTTTTTTTTTTACAAAATTGATCACTCCTGGTTTGAATTGTACCTACAGGACAATCATTTAATGTATCTTGGCTTGAATAATCTTCTGCTGTGCACCATCCTGCTACAGGAGTCCCCCAGGTCTCTGTAGGACCTCTTTTCTTTGCCATATACAACACCTCACTGAGTGAGATCATTTGATCACATGGCTTCTCCTACCACTGCTATGCCACTGCTATGCTGACGACACCCAGCTCTATCTGCCATTCCCGCCGGATGACCTCACAGTCTCTGCACGAATCTTGGACTGTCTCTCTGACATATCAAAATGGATGAAATCTCACCATCTTCAACACAACATCTCTAAAACTGGATTACTTGCCATCCCAGCAAAACCATTCATACAGCACAATATCTCAATCCAAAATGATTCCATATCTCTGCTCCTTCAAAGGCAGTTCGAAATGTGGGTGTTGTGATTGATGACCAGCTGACGTTTAAAGATCACGTTGCCTCTGTCGCTCATTCATGTTGCTTCGTGCTGTATAACATACGAAAGATCAGACCATACCTAACACAACATGCCACCCAGCTCCTGGTGCAATCTACTGTCATCTCCCGCCTCGACTACTGCAACCTTCTAACTGGTCTTCCAGCCTGCACTGTGAGACCTCTTCAAATGGTCCAGAATGCAGCAGCGTGTCTGGTCTTCAGTTAGCCTAAAAGAGCAATTCACCTCTCTGCTCATTGAGCTTCGTTAGCTACCTCTGCTGCATGCATCAAATTCAAATCGCTACACTAGCATACAACGTCCTGGACGGTACGGCTCCCATCTACCTGAATTCTCTTGCAAAGGCTTACGTTGCGGCTCGGCCGCTCCGGTCATCACAGGATCGTCGGCTAACAGCGCCTACACCACATAAGGACAATCCAGACTATTTTTATGTATCGTTTCACAGATGTGGAACGACCCACCAAGCACTACCAAAACAGGGAGGTCCTTGTCGACTTTCAAGAAACTCCTGAAGACCCAGCTCTTCAGAGAGCATCTTCTAAACTAGCAACCTCCCTGCATCCGTCCCTCACTCTACTCTACACTCCTTGATTGCTTCTGTCTATGATTCATTATGCTGCCTCACTGCCACCTGGATTGACTGATTAGTGTTTTGTTGTTAGTCTCAAGCGCAACCTGCTGGCTTCATTATCACTTGTAAGTTGCTGTGGACAAAAGTGTCTGCTAAACACATAAACATAAACAAATAACTCAGCTACCCATTTATTTGATTTAAAACCTTCAGAAGAGTCCATCTTCATCCTCAAAACTATTAGTTAAGTATTAAATCTGCTACAGTGGAGCCCAGTGAGCTACCGGTAGCAAAAAGCCCAATACATCTACTAAAATTATGAGATGGCAACACGTTTACGGTGTCTTTGATCAACTTTTCAACCGCAGTAAAACACAACTCATTATATGCTGGTTCGGATACACGATTTTCTTTGGTTTTAATTTCTCTTGCTGAGAAGTAAACACAACCCAAAAGAAGTTAATCTGTTCTGCAAATGAGCAGCTGCTTGTGTTGGATATGCACGTGTGTGCTGGGCGCAGAGATGGTGTGTGTTTCCCTCTGATATCATCATGGGGTATGTGTGTGTGTTTGTGTATAATGTCCAGCCAACAAGCTGTCTGAGTGATGTCTGGTCTGTGTTGGACGTGCGATATAGCTGATGTCTTGGTTGGGTTCACTCGGCGTGTGTGTGTGTGTGTGTGTGTGTGTGTGTGTGTGTGTGTGTGTGTGTGTGTGTGTGTGTGTGAGTGAGTGAGTGAGTGAGTGAGTGAGTGAGTGAGTGAGTGAGTGAGTGAGAAAGAGAATGAGAAGAAGATGGGTGTGTAGAATGGTCAGTTGGGCAACTCAAATGCGCGTGCGCACACACACACACACACACACACACACACACACACACACACACACACACACACACACACACACACACACACACACACACACACACACGCGCACGCACGCAGAAGGAAAGTGGTTCAGTGTTCATCAGAAGATAAGCAGAGGGGACTTAATCATCTTAAGGTGTGAGAGAGCACTTCAACATATCAGGAAATCCACAAAACACCTGACCGTGTGTGTGTGTGTGTGTGTGTGTGTGTGTGTGTGTGTATGTGTGTGTGTGTGTGTGTGTGTGTGTGTGTGTGTCACAAAGAAGGAAGTGTGAATTACAAAAGTTAGACAGTGATTCATTTGTATGGTAACAAAAATGCATAGTAAAATAAAAAAGAAATAACTGGAGTGACGCGTTGGCATTCATCGTGACTTTAGAGCTATTTTCATTATTTCCACTGTTGTCAAGCAGCTCCTCTTTCTAAAGCAGCTCTGAGTGGAAACTTTCCGAGTGTTAAAGTGCTGATTGCTCTGTGGTCTGCAGCCTTGAGAACAAATTGATTCTCTCCACAGCTTTTCAAAGTTGAATCTTTACTAATTTAGTCCAAGGAAACATCAACTCTGTCTGTCACTTAACCTTTTATTTTTTTACCAAACAGTAATAATCCAGCAGCTTCAGCTAACAATTATGCCTAATAAGATTATGTTACGCCAAAATGTATGAAGAGCTCAGGAAATGTTGATAGAAGTTTTGTTTTGAATCCAATTCTACACAAAAGTACAAATGAAAACAATAAAATGTGTTTTAATCTCTTATTTGAGACAAAAAGCTGTTGTTAAATTACCAAATTGGGAATCTTAAGAATTTTTTTAAATCAGATTTGTAGAAAGAATAAAATAAAGTACTTCATCTTAAGTCTAGTTGTTGTTGCATGTGCATGAAAAGTTGCCCTTAACCTTTTTGGTGCATTAAATATAGCAGGTAAAATATGAATTGTGTTGCACTTCTAATGAAGGGAAACAAGGTCCTGAGTCGTCTGTTGAACCTCAACGTGCGCGAGGTGTTTTGAGATCGTCTGAAGTTGGTCGGAGTAAAATAGTCCAGAAGGAGCGAACGAGAAAAGGGGAGAGATTTTCCTCTCTGAGGTTTGGGCCACTTTAACAGGCACTTTAATGGCCAGTCTGTCCAATTCTCTCACCAGTGTAGGTGAACGTGTGCACCAATTTAGTCCACTCCTTGCTGTCCTGTTCTTCTGTAGCAGTGTGTGTAATGGAGTTAACAGCTGGACACCACTTCTTTTAACACAGCCCTACTCATGTGCTTTCTGTTGCTCCTTTTTTTATACTTTTCTCTTCTTCTCTTGCTCATTCTCACAGCAGCAAGTTAAGGCAGCTCGCTGCTGCTTCAGTGTCTTCAAACCTCAAATAATCGTGCAACAGTGCACCAGTAGGACCTGCTGCTGGTTTCTTCTAGAGGAAGTTTCTCATTTACATCAAAACTTTAATTTCTAAACAAAATAATTATGTTTTCTCTTAGAATGTATACGTCTACCTATTTCTTATTCACTTCAGATGGGAACATTTCATAGCAGGTAAACAAAGATTTCTATCTATGAACGTATTTTTATAATTTATCACATAAAACAGACAAGTACACTGGTATTTTTACCAATTCTGCATGTTTAAAGCTATGGTACGTAGTTTGAAAAATTTGAAGTACCTTCAGGCGTCACTTTAATTTACTAACCTCGTGTGACCTTAGAGGACAAAAATGTCCGCTTGTAAAAGTGGCTATAAAAAATATATATATATATATATATATATATATATATATATATATATATATATATATATATGCATATACATATATTTATATATACACATATATATATATATATAAATTATATATATATGTAAATATATTTTTTTCATTGATCTGTTTAAAAAGTTCAGTAACTCTATGTCATTGCTGTAATTTATGACAAATAAAAACACAAACGTTTTCCCAAAAAATCATTTTGCCTCCAGCCAGGTGCACAAACATACTAATTGTTTTTGTTTTCTACAGTTTGATGTTCAGTAAGAGAGTGGAGCTTTGTTTTATTTACTTTTCAGAGGTCAGTTTGAGCTTTTGACCTCAATACAAACAGCAGAAGATCTAAAGAAATGTGTAAACCTTCTCGCCTGGGCCACTAATGGAGAAATGACTGATTTTAGTGGTGGACCGTAAAAATCCTAAATTTGACTACTTTTCTCCTAATTTAAACCCTAATATCACATAATGCATGATTACTTTTTGCAGATGTTACAGGATCAAAAATAGTGGTTTGGATGGAAGTCAACGGGACGTTTGTCCTCTACAGTCATAAGAGGATGGTGCATTTTAAATCTGTTGCTACGCAAAAACTACTGATGCAATTTTTTTTTCTTTTTTAGACATTTCACAACATAATCAAGACTGATTTGTAATAAATGCCCCAGGCAGAAAAAGTAGATTTGTGGGGGGAATAACTCATTTTTTGTGTTTTTTATAAATTGCAGCAATTACACTGAGTAACCAAACAGGAATGTGAAGGGCTACAATCCTCAAAATGATAAAAAAAAATATATATAAGTTCGTTGTTTAACAGATCTATGAAAAAAGCCAATAAATAAATATGAGTGTATACATTTTTATTGCTAATTTTATGAGTGGACATTTTTGTCCTCAAAGGTCACAATAGGGTAGTGCTTTGTTTTCATAATGTTCCCATCGTCTTTTTTCAAAATTCCAAACTGAATTTCAAAATATGTCAAGAGAGAAGTTTTGCAACACAATTCTATACCATAAGCACAAACACTGCTAAAATAGTGTCCCAACGAAAAGGGAAAAACTGCCCAAATGGACAAAAATGTCCCCAATGATGCCTGAGGGTTACAAATGCTAACTCAAGCATAATTCTGCTGTCAGACTCAGGTGTGTGTAAGCAGGAGCGTTTCTATAATGTTACTTGTTGGTTAGCTAGGCTATTTGTGTGCACATGCGCGATATGAGGGTGTGGCTTTCAGCTCCTTCAAGAAGGGGAGGGGAAGCTACGGCCATTCACATTTCCTCTCTTTGATGATGTCATGCTACAGACCCCAGCTTTAAATCGGTCAGTTTTTGGAGTCATGCCTATCGAATTCTTCTAATTCTGAGACATTTCTTATCTTGAAAACCAAAAAAAGGATTAAATAGAATTTTTCCGTTTTTCATGCATGGTGCTGGAATGTGCAGCACTTTTTAAAAGATAATTGACCCCGAATAAACTAATAGTGTGCCGTCTCTGTGTTCTTACCTTTAAGTGAACACCCCAGACCTGAGCATCATACTGCTGGCGTTGAGAGACGTAAAGCCCGACCTGCTGGGCCAGCTGACAGAACCGAGTCAGAGTTTCACCTCGCAGTGGAGCAAACACCAACGCCGTGCCCTGAGTCCAAACATAAGGATCAGGATCGTTACTTTTAGAATGCTTACACAGATTATTACACATGTAACCAAAATGTAAAGCCAATCCAACCTGGAAATAAGAACTCATGCATTTATATATATATATGAGCAAGAAAGACAAAAATGAAAGAAAAAAAATGTGTGTGTGTGAGTACATCACAGAAATATCAGAGACAACCAGCAACAACTAAGAGGCTTACTAACAAGTTCAAAGTGTCTTTGAAATCCTTCAGCTTCCAGTTTCATTTCATGTTGATCATGTTAGTTTTTCTTTGTCTTAATTAAAAAAAGCAAAGAGAGACGCTCAAATCCCAAACATTTAGTAAAAAAATGACACGACAGAGACTAAAAAGAACAAAAAGGCAGTTAACAGCAGGCTCACTCAGTTTGTCAGATGATAATTCATCTTTGTATCCATTCGGACTTTTCTTCTGTTTAAAAGCTGCAAAAGCAGACCAAATTCCTTCTAGCACTAATCAGCTGAATAAGGGATCCAGCCCACCGGATGGACCACCTTTGTCAGAAACAACAAATTAGTGCCATTAGAAGGGAGAAGTAATTGCTTTGTTAATTGCTTAATCAGCTTAGCAAATTATTAAATATTTGCCAAAGCTTGTTGTGGCAGCAACAGTCTGATGGCCAACACTCAAATCATATTAGCCCCCGAATTATCTCCACTGGATTAAAGAGAGAGACACGAAGAGACTTAACATGCAGCTGCACGAACACAGCCAGATGTCACGCCTGTCATTTGTCAGCTCTAACCGCTGCAGCCTCTACATTTCACTGCAACAGAGTCTCTTATTCAGGCTGCAAAAAATGCATATGTAAACAACCTACGCTACCCGGCCCGGGCCGACCCAGTACAGATGGGAATGGCTCAATTGTCAGCAACAATCTAAATGTGTCCCCTTTATTTATCAAGCTCTCTAAATTTAAAGAAATATGTAATAAAGGAGCTTTGCTGCACCAAAGACTGTTGACTAATATCCAGATTTATATTTATATTATTTATATTTTGATCCTTTAAGTTTTCTTTGCACTTTAAAGTATCGCAAAAATGCAAATCAGACCATAAAATTAGGAACAAATTAAAGGTGGTTAAATGCAAAAACACAATTTATTGACGTTTTTAAATAATAAATGAGAACAGTATCAGCAATGATGCCAGGAAGTGGTGAAAAAAGTCAGAGCACTGCAAACAATTATTTCCCAAAAAGCCTTGTTTTTGGATTATTTTAATCATATTTTTAGTCTAAAGAAACATAATTCTTATCTGCAAAAACAACACTACTTGAAATAAGGTAAATATTCGTAAGTATTCAATTGTTTTGTTTTGAGTAACTAGAAAATGAATCTACCTGTGAAATTTGGTTCTAACAAAGCCAATTCTACTTACCCATTTAAAATATTTCTTTCTAAAAAAATACAAAATTAACCTTTTTAAGAATATTAACCTTATTTCAAGTCGTGCTTCTTTTGCAAATCTTTTCTTTATGGACTAAAAAATTAATAAAATGTCTAAAACAAGACAAGTAGCTCTCTGCAAAATCACTTTTTGCAGTGAAGGTTTTATTCTTGTTTGGTCTGAAATAGTACAAAACAAGAACTGATCTCTAATAAAAAGCAGTCACTGCTGCTAGAAGTTGATGCGTGAACTGTTAAAAACAAGTCTTCGGTCTCCTCACTTCCTTCCTTCTTTCACTTCCATGTTCATAAAGTGATAGTCCTTGGAAGTTTGGCCTCTGCACTTGAACACACCCTTTTTCCTTCAGATGAATAGAAATCTCAAGCCTATATATCTCTTCCAGCCATTGGCATTCCCTCTCTGCATTTGCTTTGACTGTCACAGCATGGGGTCTTATCGCGAGGCCAAAAGGGAGAAGTTGCCTTGGATTTATGATTAAGGGAAGAGAAGCTAACAGAGACCGAGATCAGAGCCATGCATTCAAGTTGCCTGTAATAAGCATTAAAGCATTACATGATATTAATCCTGTCAGACTGTTAATGTGTGGAGGCTTTTGGGGGGGAAGGCCTAATTATGATTGCGGGGAGAAAGGAGGTGAATTAGAGGGAGAGGGTTAAGCAGAGATGTATACAGTAGACACACACACACACACACACACACACACACACACACACTTACGTTGGGTCGCAGTAATCTCCTTACGGCATCAACCAGGCTGGCTCTGTACTGGTCCAGAAACAAACTGAGTGGGAGACGAGGCTCAGGTTAGAATGCATTCGCATGATGGCACGCTCAGATAAAGCAGCAGGCTATTTATTTTCTTTTGTTTACAAATAAATCCACAACCAGGAGAAGGAGGAGAAAAACAATTTGCATGAGTAAGATGCTCTCCCTTTTCGTTGGGTATTCACATCATCCTGCTGTCGAAGCACAAAGAAGAATGAAGAGCATCAAAAAGCTCCAGCATGCACAGATAGCATCAGCTGCAGTGCACAAACACAAGGTGGACGTGCAGAAGTGCACACGTTTACACACTAAAGGATTCAAAAATGTCTGTGTTGGGGTACGTTATAAGTAAATCAAATAACGTATAATTACGGAATGAAAACAAACAAGACATGACAAAAAAATCAACTATCTGTTAAACCTAAATAACTACAAAACTATCTTTAAAAGGGATAATTTAGCTAATTTGTGGATAGCTTCTTGAATGGCCTCAGTTTGAAGAAATTAAAGTGTTGTGATCGGCGCTGTTTTATTACAGAAGCAACATGTTAAGCCTGATTTATATTTCTCTGTCTGCGTCGGTGTGACATTTAACATCCGTCAAAAGTGACAGAGTCGGCAAGCTTGTGATTGGTCAGCACAAGCGTTGCCGTTTTGCTCATTTGAAACATATTTTTGAACATTTTCGAAAATTTTTATATTTAAAATTTTAGTTTTTGGTAAGCGTCTCGTGATTTTTATCTTGACAGGCGCTATATTCTTCTTTCTTCTTCTTCCTCACAAAAAAATAAAAAAGATATTTAGCGGCAGACCCAAAACAGAATGAAGAACACATCACGGAAAAAGACCATAAATATGAACGTTTATTCACCCGTGACCCGTGAAGGAGTACAAAATACAGAGCAAACCTTTTATTTTTGGACGGCATTGACAGGAAACGTGGGTTTGGAGGTGGTGATCGCATGAAGAGGTGGTGGAGAATGAGGGACAAATGTGTCCATGTTTTAAAGTCTCTGAAATATATAAACACATTAGTAAATTCACCATCGCGGACCAGATACATGAGTGCTATGGTGGCAGGATACCACAGAAATGTCCTAGCGGGGAACAGTTTTGTAACACTCTGCTGCCTGCGCTGGAATTCGCCTGCGAAAACCTTTCCGACACTCTGTGTGTGTCTGTGGTACCGAGTTCACAGAGAAGTATAAATCAGGTTTTCGTCATGACTGAAGTCAAACTAGCCATTAGCTCATCACTCATGTAGGATGTCAGCTCTACTTCTCCAAACTGAGGCCATTCAGGAAGCTTTCTAGGTATAATGGGTATAGACCTCCGGACGTCACGTGACTCTAAGAGTAGACGCCATGTTGGCAGGCAACAAAGGTAAACAAAATGAACGGGATCGGCTTGGATTTTACTTCGTCTGAGTTTACTTCACACTTTAAAACCGATGAAATCGTTTTATATAGTCAGAAATTAAATAGACTAAACATCTCCGACCCTTGCCGTGCCCCTGGGATACTTTTTAAAAACGCCAGAAGCTGTCGGAGCGAACTTCTTACCAGACCTGGCCAGGGAACGCCTTGGGATTTCCCCAGAGGAGCTGGCCCAAGTGGCTGGGGAGAGGGAAGTCTGGGCCTCTCGACTTAGGCTGCTGCCCCCGCAACCCGACTCCGAATAAGCGGATGAAAATGGATGGATGAATGGACAAATAACATAGATTTACACCTAAGTAGTTTAAATAGAGTGCTGTGCTGTTTGAATGTATAAACTGAACGCCAAGAGAAATCACTAGTCTGATTGTTTTCCGTGAATAAAATAAATATGTCAGGCAGGAGCGTCTCGGGATCTGTCTGAGATCTGTCTCGGTGAGACAGATAATAGCAATCCAAAGTGCTTTATATGTGTGATCTGACAATTGATCAACCATTGCTTAAAAATGAAATACAGCTTAGCCAGTTAATTGCTGTGATCATAAGACACGTAAACGGCAGCACACAGAAATCACGAGGCAACGTTTTACGTGATGTTTACTTGCTGCTATGAGTAATAAGACAGAAAAAGCCACACCTTAATAAGTTTAGGAAGCCCACTAAGAATCGTAATAAAAGCATTTAAAATAAATACCATACACAGTTGAGGAAACATTGGTTTAAGTACCTGATATGAAGTGGTCGCTGCATAAGCGAAAACCTTTACTCTCGGGATCCCACAGTTTCATTTTAGCCCGGTCACTAACGTGTTTTATTACAATGATCCAACTTTTGTGGCGCTCCGGATCTTGGGGAATCCTGCAGATGGCTCATTCCTTATGTCGTCCGCATCTGTTCTGCATCCTGGGGCACAACAGGAATCTACCATATTTCCCGTTTGAGTTTTCTGACAATAACAAATAGTCCAGCTGTGGGCTACTGCCTGCCAATATGGCGCCGTTTCGATTTGAACTGTTGCATGCCGAGAGAAGTGACGTCAACTCCCGGAGCTCTATACACACTTGAAAATGACCACATTTCCCTTTAACATCTAATATTATGGGCTGCACAGTTTCTCACACAGTCCACAAACATTACTGTCAGTTTGATTGGTTTCTCTAAATTGTCCTTAGGTGTGTGTGTGTGTGTGTGTGTGTGTGTGTGTGTGTGTGTGTGTGTGTGTGTGTGTGTGTGTGTGTGTGTGTGTGTGTGTGTGTGTGTGTGTGTGTGTGTGTATGTATGGTTTGTCCTGTGTGTTTCTGTGTTGCCTCATGATGGACTGGCAATCGGTCATGCTTAGAAAATTGATGGATGGATCTTATATATCATATGTCATCCAATGAAGAAGCCAATTGTGTTTTTCTATTCATACTAAATGGTAAATAGCCTGTATTTGTACAGCGCCTTCTTAGGGTTCTACAATCCCCCAAGGCGCTTCACAACACAATCAGTCATCCACCCATTCACACGCTGGTGGTGATGAACTACGATGTAGCCACAGCTGTCGTGATGCGTACTGACGGAAGTGAGACTGCCAAACACAGGTGCCACCAGCCCCTCCGGCCACCACCAGCAGGCAAGGGCGGGTTAAGTGTCTTGCCCAAGGACACAACAGCAGCTCTTCTGTATGTTCATTCTGTGTTCATCTTCAATAAAAAATTTTTGTTCTTTTCTTACACTGTTTCAGTAAAACATGTTTTTTTTTTTACCTGACATGTTTCAGCTATTATCTCTAGCAGTCATCAGAGAGTGCCGGTGTTGGTGGCGTCATAAAAGAAAGTGGCATCACCAACACCGGCAATCTCTCATGACGACTAGAGATACTAGCTGAAACATGTCAAGTAAAAACAATTTTTCACCAAAACTGTGTAGGAAAAGAACATAAAAAGGATAACACAATAGCAGCATTCTCTTCCCGATTACTGGACAACCTGCTCTACCTCCTGAGCTACTACTGTTAGAGCCTTTTATGGTAAAAATGGCAGAAGATACGTATGATACAAAACTTATGAGTAGTCTCCATCAGTTGACCCCCAAATATCCGCAACGTGTGAAAGGATTTAGTTTTACTTAAACATAATGTTAAATATTAACAGAAAACACAGGATACCTGTTTTCTAACGACAAGGTCAATCTATTATGAACCTGATATCACAGATGAGAGTGGAGTTATTTGAATAAAATGACACATGGAGATTTAAAATAATCCTGAACATCCATCCAACTGCTCAGTGTCAGTGGCATAATAATCTAGACAACACCCATCCCAATTGTCTCCACCCTTAATAAAATAAAACATCTAAATTCCAAGAAAGAACAAAAAGTGTGCACAACACAGTCAAGGTGTGTTTAAAATGCATATATTTGAAATAAATGCAACAAAACACACTCTGACCACAACCAGGATGTGCGAGCGCACGTGTGAAGTTTATTATTCTTCCAAGTGCAGACAGAGGCGTGATGTTTATTTGACTTGAAAGGTGAGAGGTTTCTGTTTGGTTTGTTTTGCCACAGATATCAATTCACAGGAAAAGTGAGTGGCAAGGAAAACAAGGAAGTGAGCTCGTTGGGTGGAGGTAATGTCTGAAACACACACACACACACACACACACACTGAGGCCAAGTGAAGGACAGGGTGTCATTCAGGGGGCAACTAGAGAAATGACAAAGCTACAAACCCATACTGTCACCAGAAAATATGTTTTTAAATAAAAAAAATGTGTTTTAAATTAATACAAAATACATGTACCAATTAAGAATGCACTATTATTTACTGAAGGAAATAATATAATACCAAAAAATAAAGATGACTACATTAATAATAACCCACTAAACTTAAATATATTAACTCAAATATACATCTATTGTTTCCAACCTAACATTCTATTAATAATGATGTTAAAAACATTGTATGTAGTGAGGGCAGAAATGTTTAAAATTTAACAATTACGGAAGAGGATTAGGCCACTGAAAAAAAAAATGAAAGAGAATTCTGACTTTTTTTTTCAGAATTCTGACTTTAAAAATTCTAAGGATGAAGAAAGAATTCTGAAAAAAGTCAGAATTCTCAGTGAAAAAGTCAGAATTCTGAGATTATAAATTGAATTATGACTACAATAATTCTAAGGATAAAGACAGAAATCTCTGGAAAAAAAGTCAGAATTCTGAAAAAGGTCAGAATACTGAGATTAAAGTACGAATTCTGAGAAAAAAGTCAGAATTCTGAGAAAATATGTCAGAATTCTGAGCTCAAAGTCAGAATTCTGAAAAAAGTCTGAATTCTGAGAAAATAAGTATGAATTCTTAGAAATAAGCTAGAATTCTGAGAAAATATGTCAGAATTCTGAGATCAAAGTCAGAATTCTGAAAAATGTCGGAATTCTGAGAAAATAAGTCTGAATTCTTAGAAAAAAAGTCAGAATTCTGAGAAAATAAGTCAGAATTCTGAAATCAAAGTCAGAGTTCTGGGACTAAAGTCTGATTTCTGAGAAAATAAGTCAGAATTCTGAGATCAAAGACAGAATTCTGAGATCAAAGTCTGAAT